CACAGTTGGCAATTTGAACTCCAGGGCCCAGTTGTTCGAAGGCCGATTAGCGCTTAACCCGGGATTAAATTTAACCCTGGTTTCTTTTTCTTGTGCTCAAAAGCATTTTCTCTGAGAATTTTATCTGTTATTTTTAGAACTTCCAATCGTCAACTTGTTGACAAAAAGAATTAAAACTGAAATGCTTTTTAAACTTTCAAATCTGAATTCAAATCTCGCACTAACCCTGGGTTATCTTAACCCAGCTTTGAACAACTCGGCCCAGGATTAGAAACTGCATGTTTCAAATTCCTCTGATAGAGAATTCAGCAGCAAGAAAGACTTGCAAAAAACTGAACACGAAGCAGTCAAGACAAGTTCACAGTGGTTATGTGAACATTATCAGCAGAACTGCAGAGTGTGAATCCCTTGTTGTATGCCTTTTTTCTATGGTTATGGGTCATTTTGATACAAGTTGAGTCAGTCAAGGTGAAAATAGTTTGATACTTGGCTTAAAGAATGAGGAATGAGAAATATTCAACCTAAAAGTTATTCTTGTTCATACACAAACTATACTTGAAGTAATGGAAATCGTTGTGCAGTTTCACTGCTTGAGTTTGTATCAAATTTGTATTGAAACAACTTTGTATCAAAGATATTGATTTCCATTTCTATCCATGCTGTTGCTGTCACAACATCTCAAAAGCTTGTGAGAATAAAGACGCAAAAGCTTGCCATGTGACTCACAATGAAAAAGTACTCTCACTGTCTGTGTCAGATTAAAGTAGAGATTGGTGAAAACAGTGCCAAGTAGTGTACATCTTATTGTAGTTGTGGAGAAAAAAGGACTGCCTATTTCTGCCCCATCTCCAAGCATTTCACCTGAGTGGACAAAAATATTGGGCAAGTAACTTTCATAGCCTTCTTACCCAATAGGCAAGGGTCAAGGCAAGTCATCCTCTAACAAAGTCATCAACTAAAATAGGCAAGAAGTAGCCCTGGCCTGGTACGCAAAATGTGAGTCATGATTGCTGCATGCTCAAAAGACAGGCTGGAATTCAAGTTTTTTCGAGAGTGCCCTAAAGGTGTGTCTAGAAAAACTAGACACTTTCAGGGAAATTTTAGTCAGATCATCTACAGAGTAACATAAATTATTAGTGCTGAAATACAGCCACGCCTGTAACAAAACAACCATGGAAAGCAACTCTAGTTTTCAATACACAGTTGACTCCCGATAACTTGAAACCTCCCTAACTCGAACCTTGGGCTAACTCGAACCAAAATCGATTTCCCCTGGATTTCCGTTATACATTTACTGCAATTTTACCCTTGGTAACTCGAACCCTTGATAACTCAAACCTCCTGCTAACTCAAAGAAGTTTTTGTTTCCCCTCAGATAATTTCTATTTAAATTTTACCCTCAATAAATCAAACCATGTTTTTAGCCCTTAAAAAGTCAGGAAAATACAGTCTACTGGCGTTCGAAAAATTGAATTTTGAATTTCCTATTGATGTGTTTAAGGTGTATGGTTTACTAGTGGAGGCTTATGTTGTTTGTCATAAATCTAACATGAAACAGTTTTACTTCTCAAAACAGTAAAACACATTCTGATTTATAATCTTGACATTTCTACAATTAAATGTGATTAAAATGTTCGCTGTGCAGTAAAAACTGTTCTTTTCCTTGCTTCCAGCTATTTTCTTCGAGCTCCTGATGACTCGCACTCCCAATAACTCAAACTTTTTTCGATTTCCCTTGAAGGTTCAAGTTATTGGGAGTCAACTTTAAGTCATATCAGCTTAAACTGATTTAAGCTTTAAAGCGAATACTGTGGCTATATGCCCGGCAGTCTGTTAAAAAATTTTCTATAAATTCTGCAAAATTCCTTTTTCTAATAGTTTGAAAGTACCAGTGTTCTATCTTCATTTAGAATTACCAAGCAATTAGGAAAACAAGAATGGCTCCGCTGCAGAGTGACTGTTGTTTCTTGAGCATAAAGTAGAGTTGACGCCGTTTCGACACTTCGAAAAAGTTCGTGAGTAGCAGTGGTTGACTTACCGGCATGTTTTCACACAGGCTAATTACCCGGCAGTCTGCTTTATGATTATCATATGTTTAACCAATTTATTTAAATCTTTTTACCCGCTTGACTACTCTAAAGCTCAATGGAATACTCTCATGGTGTCTAATGTGACACTTTTTGTCGAAATTCCCTAAACAATTGGGATTGCCGGGCATTTAGACTGAAGAGAAATCATGCCCGTGAGTCAACCCCAATATAGACTACAATACTCAAAATCTGGTGATACCTATCCTCTGGTAAAAATACTCTTTCCTGTCTCAACGCTTACTAGTAACAATTCTAAACCATGATAAAATATTTTGTGGAGAATTCCCAAGATTAAGGGCACCACCAGGGAGTATATCAAGCTGTGTCTTAACTCCAACTCGAGGAGGCTAGAGGTCATAAGAGGCTGCAAAATGAAGAAGTTTCAAAATTGAAGCTCTCTCTCTGATTGTCTTGCGAAACTAATTGAAACTAGTATGCATGTATTCTGGAACTTGTCTTAAGAGTGGACTCCCCAGAAGGCTTTTTAACTTTCCAGCTGACTTCAGATTGCCGGGTTAATTTAGCCTGTGTAAAATCGTGCCCGTAAGTCGGGCGCTGCTAAAAATGTACTCACGAAATTTTGTCAAGTGTCGAAACGGCGTCGACTCTACCCCGTACCTTAGAAACCACAACCACTCTGCTGCAAAGCCATTCTTGTTTTCCTGATCGCTTAGTAATTATAAATGAAGATACAATACTTTCAAACGATGAGAAAAAGGGATTTTGCACAAATTCTAGAAAATTTTCTGACTGCCGGGCATTTAATTTTTCAAGACCCTTCACGACTGCCAAGCAAACATGTGAAAGGCTAAAAGTTTGGTTGTTAAGTTGCACAGTAACTTACCAGAGATCAAGGCCTCTACAACAAAAAAGGTATTAAGTTTCCAGCTTAAAAGAAGATAACGATAACAACCAGCCAAACACGAATTATAATGAGCAGGCGTTTAAAATGAACATTTGTCAAAATTGTTCACATCATCCGCCATGATAGTCGAAGCGGTGGACTGGGGCAGGTTCAACACGCTTCCCGCTTAGATCGATGGGAAGAGCACGTGCCTCACAGACAGGCCAGGCTGTGTAAAAACTTACTGTGGGTATTGTTTTTGGGTCTGAAAAATCACACTTGTAAAGCGAGTTTTACTGAAGTAAGTCCACCCAGACCCTGTAGACCGTATGTCACTATTTGCCATGTTTTTTAATTGTCGAAACGTTTTTTTGCATCAAATGAATACCAAAAAAAAATAATATTTAGGCATTGTTTTTTTTTTTCTTGCTGGGGTGAATGGACATGGATTGGAAGTTGACTTGAAAAAGTTGGCTCAACTTTTTCAAGTTTTAACACTATGCCTAGGCCTGCAAAAATCACCAAAAGAAATTTTGGTCAGTTTTCCTTGATTCAATTGGTTTGATATCTTCGTAAAGGAATCTTAAGGTACTAAGCAATAACTTCAGCACATAATTGACCTCAAAACTTCAATATCCTCGTGACATAGCCCCTTTAAACAGTGTGAGCTTTGTTGGGAACAAGATTATTCAAGGGCGATAGTACATCACTTTCCAAAACATCTTTCTTGCACACTTAAAACGGCTGAAAAAGCTAATTCACTGTCTATTAACATTGCAAATAGTTTCAGCAAATCCTTTAGTTCAAGATCCCAACTTACCTATTTACATTGCAAGTTTGGTTAGGAAACTTTTTGTCAGATCAAAAGTTATGGTCTGGCCATAAGAAAAAAATTTCCCTACAAGTAGGTGAAATGGAGGTAATAACGCATTCACATCTCAATGTATAAAGTAAAGTACCAAATGGTATCAGCTATCTTGTGAACACTCACCTTTAAGAAAAATTATCACCTAAGGCCCTTGTCATACAACGAAATTCAAACTACGACTTCCAGAAATACTGAGTACAGTGAAATATCATCGCAAAACTCCAATGGCTTCATGAGTAGTCTACTGTTGTGACTTGAACTGACTAGTGATGAAAGCAATGTGGTCTCTTTTAAAAAATTCCAAAAGAATGATCAACTGCAGGAACATCTCATGATGACTGAATGACAGTATATATCGATGTGGCCCTTGCTATCTACATCTTGTAACACTTGTTGTGAAATGACTTTATCCTTTCTATTTATTTTATTTTATTTCATTTCTATGGACCTGGAAAATATACTTAAAGCTCTTTACAGAAAGTATTTATAGCAAGTTAACCATCTCACTCTGTACTTCATCAGCTTACATGAACAGACGATAATTCGTACTCCAGAATAAGCTAAATTGGGTTCCCCTGACAACCTCTTACGAGACCTTAACTAAATCATGTGGACACTGCAAAATCGAAACTGATAGTTGACAAACATGGCATGTACTTTATTGGAAAAGTGTTGAAAGATTTCTAAAACCTGTCAATTGGTACAAGCATGGTATTTTAGGAGCCATACGTTAGGTTTAAAACATAAATTTCTCGTACTGATTTCTTGAAGCCTTGAAGACTCTTTTTCCTCCCTGGATTCCTTAGATGCTCAGTTTACTTCCTTAGCATTTTACATAACGGATTGCCAGTTCCCTTAAAAGTAATCCAGGAGGGATTTTCATCCTGGTTGGGCAAGCTGTTCTCAACAATCTTAGTCTTGAAATGACTACAGACAAAGCTACACCTTTTTTTCCAGTAGAGAAAAATTACTAGAAAATACCGGCTTTCCATTCAACTACAAAAGATATAACAGGATATCATGTGCATTATGCCACTGAATTGCTTTTGCAATGTCTCTTTGGCATATCCAGGCTGATCTTTTGCCTCAAGGATGATCAAAAGGGCTTCCTTGCACTAAAGCATTGGGAGACACTGTTCAGGAAGGCACAAGGTCAACATTGACAATTAGCCTTGTGTGTGTGTGTTTTGAAGTCATTTCAGCAGTTTTGTTGCCTCGGATCAAATGAAGGATAAGCTGATACTCCAACTATAGTATCTTCCCGCTCCTTCGGGATGTAGATCACCTTAACTGTGTGGATTGGTGTTATTTTGTAGCCTTCAGTTTCATCGATTCCATTCCTAAAGGAGGTGTAAACACCGATGCATCTCTCAAAGCGATAAGTAGCTTTAACGCGGCCCGTGCGTTTGTCTTTAGGACTTTTATGATCCAACAAAACAGCTTCCTGAATCAAACGACGTAATTCTTCATCATCTTTGCACACTGGTGTGTAACCAAAGCCGTCTTCTTTCGGTTTTAGAAAGCACGTTTTCCACCTCGACGCGGACGACAAATTTTCTTTGTTAAAGTTCGCATTACGCCTAAGAAGGACCTCTGCATTCTCTCCCGGTCTGACAATACGAAGGCCGTCCTGAAGATGTGTTTTAAAAAGGGAAAAAGTCATGATCGTAAAATCAGACATCTTCGCTTGCTTAAAAATTAAAACACTTTCTGGTGAAAGAATAAAAGATGGCTGCAGAAAAAAGTTTGTACCAGATCGTCTCTCACCCCAGACTGACTAAATAGCGACTGGCCTGGGTACGAGCCTGGCTCTGTGGATAACGATAATGGTTTCAACAAAGAAAGTAACGATAAGAGAAAACAGAAACATTCTACCTCAGTGAGCACTTAAGGTCGGATCATAAGTTGAGGTTTTGCATTTTTTTTTTAAATCATCTAATATTTTGATGGCATGTTTTTAGGAATAGAAAACATCAGGCCGTGAATGTGTGATCTCGTCCGGCATTCGTTTGGCAATTATAACAACAGTCTACGACAAGGACAAAAAAAATATTAATCAAGCTTCCCTGCAGACAGGACGGTACCGGGATTGGCCGTTTTTGGTCCATTGTTAGAGAATTCTTTCGAAATTACCGATTTAAGCGGTATCCAAACAGGACAAAATGCTGTTGAAAAGAACCTAAAAGCCCCACTTACCGATACAGGTCTCTTCTCCAAGGTAGAGCTCCCAACCTCCGTCACCTCCAGTTAATTTGAAGACTATGTTTACAAATCGCGTTGATGACTTGGAGATCGGTTTTCTTTGTACCGACGCTCGTAGAATAATAAATGTTTGTACATTTTACATCGAAAACTTGTTGAAATTTGTTTTCCTAGACGATCAGGTGTACAATCCTAAGGAATTAATAAATGAAAAAAGATACCTTACCATGTCGTAAGGTGCAGATTTTGGACGGCTATCTTTTTAGAACTTTAAGGTACTTCTCTATCTTTTTAGCTCTTTCCGGATTGTGCTTTGAACTAGGGTCGTTGCAAAGTATTCCGTTGCGGTTTGCTGACACAACGTCCAGTACGAACACACTCACTGTACAAAAATGTCCTTGAAAAATCGAAAAGTTTCCCTTAAGTGATAAAATTCTTCAACCAACCAGTTTTGGTTAGAAGATAAAATGAAAATATACATCTAAACTGGAATTCAGTTTCTTATCACGGTGTTAAATTGTATGAAGCAAATGTGTTTTTCTAAAAAATATATAGCAGGTGTTACGATGCGTCGCAAGGTTAGGAGATCATATAATCGCTAAAAATAAGATGTCGACTAAAAGATAACTAAATATCAAGAACATACACATACTTTCCTTCAATTACCGAAATAAAATTAAAGTTTAAGAACTTTGAGAACCTAAAGCAGTTTGAAAGTTTATGTACCTGTATATTTAACCGCATATGACATAAAAAATAAAGGTGGATGAAAAGATTATTATACTAATACATTTACCGGCCTCATCTGCACTTGCAGCTACTGTTTTCTAACACCACCGTCTTAGTCTTTAAAAGTTTGTCTGCGTATTCACTTGAAATAAATCCATGATAAAAGCCTGGCTCAAATTGTAATACGCTCTATTCTCTCCTGCTCTGAAAAGCTGTTGACACCCGGCTACCAAGCAACGCATCCGAAGGCCCTGAGGAAAGAAATAATTAAATGTTAATTTCCGATGAATAATTGTCACCTTCTTAGTTTTGCGTAAGTGGTTAAGAGCCATGCATCGCCCCATGTAGGGAAATTAGGATTTCGGGAAAATTTTGCTTGTGGAATGATCCTTGGCTTTGGAATCTGGAATACAGTTCAAGGAATCCTCCTGAATCCCGCTAAAATTGGAATGCAGAATCCAAGTTCCTCTGTCAAAGGCTGGAATCCAGTACCTAGAATTAGCGTCTACTCACGGCTGATAAGTAGACTTTTACCGATCTGTTTTTGACCTTAATATTATGCCGTTGAAGGAAAAAAACTACATATCAGAGTGAGACAAGAAAAACACAGGGCTGGAAATGGGACTAAAGATCACAAAACAAACAAAATACGATATCTTGAAATCATGATAAAGAAAAAAAAAACTAAGATTATAAAATTTTATCCTCGTTCTTTATATTGGAGCTGTAACTCCCATTTTTCAGTTTCCCCCCAGAACCGCCCTATTTCGTAGAGGAGGTCAGGTTCACCGCAGCTTGTTGTTCAAAGCTACTATGTGAAGTATTCGGAATTACTATTCACAGTCAGTGGCTCTCCATGCATTATGTATGAACCGGGAATGAGGAAGTTAGTACATCGAAAGCTGGATCTGCCCGTGTAGCATTTTGTTACATTTTTGCCAATGCCTACACCATGCCAAGGATAAGTATAAAGGATCAGTTCGCCAATCGGTTATTCCATCATATATTAATTTTGTACACAGGTTTGTCGATGTAATAAATGTATCGTGACCTATATTATTCCCTTACCATCTTCTTTCATGGAGTGAGGCTGATCATAACAAATTCCCTCTGGAGCACAAGTCATTTGTTTCTGAAGACACAGTGTGGTATAGTCATGAAAACTCTTCAGTTTTATCAACTTTCTTATAAAAAGCTGCGACTTTAAGGCGAGAAAGGGGATAGTTAGGAAGGCATTCGAATGACCTTTTTTCTACTTAGCCTTTCTAAGTTTTTTCCGGCTGAGTGAGAAATTCCTTCTGTCATCTTCGCCATTTTGAGCTCGGTCAAAGTCAAGATCATTATACAGACTATGTGGTGCTACAATGTGAAACAATGTTTAAAACACCTCTCTGTAACAGGAGACCCAGTGTAATATATATCTTCACCGGGTTAGAAAAAGTCACCGGTTTGGCTTATTTTCTTCCATTGGGGTTTTTTTCTTAGTTGTGTATTTCTCATGAAAGCTAATTTGAAAGTGACCGGGGAAGCAAAACTTTAGCTGGGTAGAAACAAAACTATTCGCCTGGTACCGGGGAGGCTAAATTATCACTGGGTAAACTGAATTAAACCACTGAGTAGGGTTTCACTGGGTCTGTTACAGAGGGGTGTTATAAAAGTGTATGACGCAGCCAGATAGTATGCACGATCACGGATGATTAGATTTGATACAAGAGAAAGCGTCATACTTTGGCCATCATCAATTACCCTTGTGTTATCATTAGAAGATAATGAAAGAAACGCTGAAAGTAAAGAAATAACAAGCATTACGTACCAATCCGCGACGATAACAATATCTTCAGTAGAAAACATTCTTTGTTTTCTGTTTTTCAGGTATCGGAAAAGGATCAAGTGGATGTATTTTTCAACTCAGACAACAATTATGACAGAATTGACAGAACTGACAGAACTGGTGGAAGTATTTCATAATATATATTTGCTTTGAAAGTCATATTTGAAAGACAGGGGGATCTAATGCACTCCACTATGTACTGGGAAATTGCTGCGAGTAGTTAGCACTGAAAATGATGTTACCTTGACTACAATCACAAATTTTGACTTACACGATATGTCACACTACAAACACGATCATTATTGGTTACAAACACAAGATCAGGTCGATTGATGTCTTGATATTTATTAATGTTTATTGAATGTATTTGCTCTATTTTTCAAAATTCGTCCGTGACACTGATAAAAGAAAAAATATTGAAAATGTAATGTAAACAAAACTATGATCCTGATTAAATTGTTCATGTTACTTTTAAAGCTTTTTTTACGCTGACTTCTTCGGGTGAGGTGAAAAGTGATTAAGTGATAAGTGATTATGCAGGGATTAAAATGTTGGTCCGTAAGCTCATAAATCATGGCCGAAACATTAAAAAATAAAATAAACTTCTGAGAACCACTCAAGACACTAAATTTCTAGCAAATTCTTTTTTTTGTTTGCTCACTTACTTCCACAGTCTCGTAGAAACGAAGTAAAGCTTTTAAACGAAACAAAACAACAGAAAAAAAGAATTACTGAAAAGGATTTCAGACCTGTAACTATAGAAAGTAGGAGTAATGGGAGCTTAGGAGAGTGCGTTCGATATGTTTGCTAGGCGTACAGGTAGCAGTTGAGGGGAACGGTGGATGGTTCTTGCGATAGATAACTATGATTATGGCATATTTTGAACGTAAGGGTTGCGGACAGCGAAACCTCTTAATTTTTTGTGTATCATTATGAAAAGGTTTTGAAGGGTAGTGAACAGCGTGATATCGTATGGTTCGTCTCAAGTGCTTGTTATTTGAGGAGACACTGGCCAGAGTGCGTCGGGCGTGTAAAAAGAACTTCTCGTTTTACCTGTGCAATAGATGTTCTACAGGGTACAGTTCGAAGGTCGATCAGCCCTTTGCCCGGGTTTCTTTTCCTTTTGTTCAAGAACATTTCTCCGTTATTTTTATGAGCATCCAATCATCAACTTGTTGACAAAATGTTTCACATCTGAATTCAAATTTCGCACTAACCCTCCTCGCATGGGTTATCTTAACCCAGGTTTGAACAACCCGGCTCAGGTACTGTTAAAAAGCAAACAGTTGATAAAGTTTTAGATGTAATAATTAATTTTATTTATTGCATGGGAATTCCAAATGTTTCAATTACTGAAATTTACTATAAAATGAAACCGTTACTAGCAAGTCTTCTTAACTTGAGATAGTATTAAACAACGTAACGACCTCAAATCACATTGTGGTGAACGCCGGGACACAATGATTATCGTGTTTGAACACTGGTTCCCTTACACTACAACTCTCAATTTCACACGTTTCAAGGGAATCATCAAAGCCTTCAGTGGAATGTGTGTGCGGCTCACGTCAATAACTTTTCCAGTAATTTGGTCGAGTGTATTGATTTCAGTGGCTTGAGTGGCGCTACTGTGGGCTGGTCACGTTTTTCCGAATAAATAACATAGAGCTAAAATGTTCGTTTGTCCAGTGCCGAAAATATCACAGGTCATGATGAAATGGCGCCGCCGAGCTTCACATCTCGGTAGATTTACCCCAAGTTGTGGCACTCCCTTGGTGGCACTACGGCCGCGTAGCTACACAACTCAGTAGATTTACTTTGTGGCACAACGGACGCCGAGCTTCACAACTCGCCGTTAAATTTACTTTGTGGCACAATGGTCGCCGAGCTAAACAACCCGGTTTGATGCATGCACCAGGAGTCGCAGGAGTCGAGTTTTACCATAAGAAACCAGAGGTCTAATAGATAGTATAGCCAGACGTGTGGCTTTTAATTAATTCGATCGCCTTTTTAGACTAGCGAAGCGGGGGCGGAACTCGAGACATGTGATAAGGGATTTTCCCTGTAAGCCTTGTGTCGCGCAGCACGACAGCCTAGCCTCGCGCTTACCGTTGAATAATAAAATGGGAAAAGGGCTGCAGAGACCGTTTTTATGTCTATAATAAAAAAATAATTACCAAAATGAAGAAAAAAATAATAATAATAATGAAAAAAAAATTACATAAAAAAGTTCCAGTCGTTAAGAAGAGAAAGAAAGTGCACGCCAGTGGTTCAGATCATATTAGTCTGTTCGTTACCAGGCTGTGAATATAAACGGTGGTGTGTCATCCAGTCGTGAGCTGCAATACAGTGTTCCACAGGGTACTTTCCTTGGACCTATTTTATGTCTGCTTTATGCCTCACGCTTTATTTGGCTGCAGAAAATTTCGGTCGTTTCGGTTAACGCGGGTAGAAGGTAATTTAATTCCTCCGAAGTTATTGCCTCTTTTCCTCGAAAGATTTCCACTGAGATGAACAGTCCCATTTGAATTCTCATCAGAATTAACGGATCTTCCATACAAATGGTCTAAGCACTACTAGAGAACAATTTTAGTGAAGAAAATTTATCTGTCCGGAAGCAGCTCTTAGATTTTCCTATGCTAAACACCCTTAAAGGTCAAATGAACCAAAATTTCAGAGCAGGTGATCATGATCACACTTAAAGTAAGAACATGGAGAACTCTAAATGTTCTGAACATGCTTCCCCCCCTATTTACCCTTTCAGTAAAATGTTATTAAGCCGCGCTTTCTGTTTAATGTTTGCTTGTTTCAGAATTTTCTCTTTATTCTATTTTTAAACTGCACATTTTTTTAAAAAAATCATTTTGTCAACGAGAGAGAAAAAACCATAAAAAACCAACGCAATTTCAAATTTAACATCTTTTATTTCACTGCCTACATTACGGATACTCATACAAAGAACTTAATTCTCACTCACTACCTTGTTTAATTACACATTATTTCGGAAACAACATCAATTTTATGGAGAGCAAAGAGTATTCTCCAATTTTTCTAAATTCAGTAACATTTTCACTTTATTATTATCTCTGCCTTATCAACCATTTGAGTTTCCCGCTTTTGCAACGGAGCCTTCAGCAGCGTCCGGATCATAAGTACGCGGTCTTGGAGAATTTAATGGCTGAAAATATAAAAAAAGAAGAAAAAGAGCACTTTAAAAACATAAATTATTCTAAATGCTTGTTGCATTGTGATGAACTAACTTTAAGCTCCAAGTTCAGCTTAGAAGAGTGAGTTGCACTTTCATTTATTTGCCGACACCTGAGCCACGGAGCTCTTTTTGCTGACAATTCAGACGGTAAATTAAAATCCCTGAATAACAGAGCTTCGTGTTAAGGAAGAAGTTTCTTTTATGAA